TAGACATAAAATTGGAAATAATGCTGGGCCATCAACGAAAGGTGCTACTAGTGTTTGTGGAGGGCGTACAAGCAGACTCAGGGAAATGTAAAATGCTTTGGAGGACAGAGTTCTATGGGATTCATTATTCCAGGAAGGCGCACTGGAACAGCCACGTCTTCAAGCTCTTCTTGAAAACTGCCAGGGTTGGGGCCTGTCTGATGTCTTTAGGGAGTGAGTTCCAGAGTCGAGGGGCCACCACGAAAAGGCCCTCTCTCTCGTCCCCACCAATCACGCCTGCGATGCTGGTGGGATCGAGAGCAGGGCCTCCGAAGATCGAAGGGATTGTGTGGGTTCGTATACAGAGATGCGATCACGTAGGTAGGTGGCTATGTTGGGTCTCGGAGGCGCTGTCTTTAGCCGCCGAAGCCGTAGATGGTCCTCCCCTGGCGCTTGAGGGCGTAGACCACGTCCATGGCGGTCATCTCCATTCTAAATCAAAGAGCCGGCGTTGTCCGTAGACACCTCCAAGGTCATGTGGCCAGCATGACTGCATAGAGTGCCGTTATGTGTATAGATTTTATTATTCTATGTATAAATTTTATTTAATAAAAACAATTGAAATTCATACCTATCATGGATGAAAACTGGGGGGGGGGGGACTCTACGTCTAAAGGACCCCAGAACCCATTTTGGCAGCGACACCTAAAGCAGTGGTTTTTTGACCAGACACCACTTTGACCAGGCACCAGTCTCCAACATTAAGTACCAAAAGGATTACGAATCAGTTTTTGGTTAATTTTAGGTTCGGTTTGGTTATTTGCAGTGCTGATTCAGAAAATTGCATTGGATAGACCACATCAGCTCTAGTTTTTGATATAGAACATATGCCATCCAGTAGTCGTCATCTGCTCACCCTCAGGCACTATAAGAGGGAGTCAGCTGCATTAAGATCACTAAGGTCATGAGTTCGAAGCCAACCCGGGTCGGAGTGAGCTTCCGACCAATTTGTGTAGTTTGTTGTCAACCTTTGTAGCCTGAAAGACAATTGAATCTGTCAAATAGGAAATTTAGGTACCCCATATGTGGGGAGGCTAATTTAACTAATTTACAACACCATAAAAATCTCCAGCAATCATGTAAAGAATGAGGAAGTACTTCATCAGTGTCACAAATGGACGGTGAAGCGACAGCTCCCCTGGTGGCCAGAATACCCTCATGAAAAAGCTGGAATGTTAAATAGCCTCTGAGTGTCTGTCTATATATGTTGTGTGTCTATGGCATTGAATGTTTGCCATGTATATGTACATTGTAATCTGCCCTGAGTCCCCTGCGGGGTGAGAAGGGAGGAATATAAATACTGTAAATAAATAAATAAATAAATACAATAATAATATTTTGGAGCACCACATTGCCATATCCCTGAGGAACTTCAGAATTCTTTTTCTGTAGGAATTTCAAGAGGTGTTCAGTTGACCTTGAAAAATAGTGAGATTTGAACATGGTTGAACCTTGTGCAGAAGCAAATGTTTCTGTAACGGTTCCTTTCTTTTGTCAGTACCTTCTCAATTGCTCCATGCTTCTCTTGCTTCAGCCCCACAGGCTGTATCCGCTGTGCGCAGGGTGATGGGGGAACGGGAGGGCTGTATCGGCGGCCCAGGCCCCAGGGCCCTGCATCCGGGGATCGTGTGTCAGCGGGACAAAGGGATGGCGCCAACCGTCCCGCCGTGTGCGCCAGCAACTAGAATTAATTACCAACCAATCGAATCCGTCGCAGCCCATTGGTAAACTAATTGGTAATTTTAGCCGTACGTCTATATGTAGTTATCGGGAGGCCTGTAAGCGACGCTTTCAGAGCCACTTTTGTTCGGCTGCCTCCCGCTCGACAAAATGGCCTTCATAGCTTTTGGGAGGAAGATGTGCATCAGTGGCTATGGGGCCGCTCCGGTTGCTTGTCTTGTTTGTATTCCCTTGTTCGTAAAACAGGACTTGGGTTTCAGGCTGTTGGCCCTGATAATTTTGGTAAACGGTGGAGCGCAGCACTCATCGGAAGAGGCTCCTTAAAGCCATTCATTGTAAAATGTTGCGTTTGCGAGCCATCATTAGAGAGGAGACAACCCCTCTCCTCTGATGGAGATGGGAATTCTTGACCGAGGTGCACCCCACTTTCTCCTTCTGGTCTGTTAACATTGGATCCAGGTGGAGTCCACTTCTCTACTGCCTTCCACTTTGCAGAACATTATTGCCTTTTCCATTACGTGATGTCATGCAAATATATCTAGAAAAATATAACTTAAGATCGAAGAAGTGGCTGTCATATTTCTGTGTAAGGCAATTGAATGCACACTGCTCATCTGAATCCAGAAGCTGAGCAGATCCATGCTTGATTAATATTTCTATTTATTTATTTATCGTGTCAGGAGCGAACCAAAACAATTGTATTGCATTAAAAAACAGACAAACAAAACACAAAATTTGCAGACTTGGTATTCTATTAAATGTCCTTTGACCAGTATCTGGCCACTTGGAGTGCTTCTGGTGTTGCCGCAAGAAGGTCCTCCATTGTGCATGTGGCAGGGCTCAGGGTGCACTGCAGCAGGTGGTGTGGTTTGCTCTTCTCCACACTCGGATGTCGTGGATTCCACTTTGTAGCCCCATTTCTTAAGGTTGGCTCTGCATCTCGTGGTGCCAGAGCGCAGTCTGTTCAGCGCCTTCCAAGTCGCCCAGTTTTCTGTGTGCCCAGGGGGAGTCTCTCATTTGGTATCAGCCATTGATTGAGGTTCTGGGTTTGAACCTGCCACTTTTGGACTCTCGCTTGCTGAGGTGTTCCAGCAAGTGTCTCTGTAGATCTTAGAAAACTATTTCTTGATTTAAGTCATTGACGTGCTGGCTGATACCCAAACAAGGGATGAGCTGGAGATGTCACTGCCTTGGTCCTTTCACTATTGGCTGCTACTTCCCGGTGGATGTCAGGTGGTGCAATACCGGCTAAGCAGTGTAATTTCTCCAGTGGTGTAGGGCGCAGACACCCCGTGATAATGCGGCATGTCTCATTAAGAGCCACATCCACTGTTTTAGTGTGGTGAGTTGTGTTCCACACTGGGCATGCATACTCAGCAGCAGAGTAGCATAGCGCAAGGGCAGATGTCTTCACTGTATCTGGTTATGATCCCCAGGTTGTGCAAGTCAGCTTTCGTATGATATTGTTTCTAGTGCCCACTTTTTGCTTGATATTCAGGCAGTGCTTCTTGTAGGTTAGAGCACAGGTCCAGAGTGACTCCCAGGTATTTGGTTGCGCTGCAATGCTCCAGTGGGATTCCTTCCCAGGTAATCCTCAGAGCTCGGGATGCTTGTCTGTTCTTAAGGTGAAAAGCACATGTCTGTGTTTTAGATGGATTAGGGATCAGCTGGTTTTCCCTGTAATAGGCAGTAAGAGCACCTAGAGCTTCAGAGAGCTTCTGTTCAACCATCTCAAAGCTCCCTGCTTGAGCAGTAATGGTAATATTTTGATGAGGGCCTTGTACCCTTGGTTTGTTCCTGATATGATAAATAAATAGATCAGGGCGACCTGGAATCTCTGTAAAGAACTGAGAGGAGATCTTGCCTGCATCCCTGGGGCAAAGTAAGTAACACAAAGCAGAAGTGAACCTCACTATGAATGCAACGTCCTTTCTTTTTGAGAAACCATTTGCTTAAAAGTGGGTAATGATCGCATTTCCGAAGTTGTGCTTATTATCGCAAGGAGAATGAGTTCCAATGAGACACATTCCTGAGAGCCTGGTAGAGTTCGATTTTACATTCTCCAGTGTAAGAACGATCTTAGATTCTCCAGAGTTTTGTGCTAGGCCGATTGGCTATGTTTACCATTTAAATGACTGGAGATTTTATTCCTAACTGATGCTATACAGGAGAGCTGGAGTATATTGAGGAATATAAGTCCTACTTTGTTGTTCAGGGCCTCCAGGTCCATTCCAACTTACCTGGGGTTTTCTTGGCAAGATTTGCTCCAAAAAGGTTTATCCTTACCTCCCCCTAAGGCTGAGAGAAAGTGACTTATCTGAAGTCACTTGCTGGATTTTCTTGGATTGAAACCTGTTGGGCAAGTGGGCTTATTAACAAAAGACCCTCCTCATAAATGCACAGCAGAGTATCTTATTAGCAGCAGCGTAACCCGGCACCAGTAGCCCAAAGTGATAAAAAGAACAAAAAACATATAGACCAATGTTATCTCTTCCTTAGGAGGCTTTTCTTTGTAGTTATTTATTATTTTACTCTGTTATTATTGTTATCCAACTTACCTGTTGGGCGAGTGGGCTTATTAATAACTAGCCATCCCCTGCCATGCGTTGCTGTGGCCCACATGAGGGTTCTGTGTGGGAGGTTTAGCCCAATTCTATCATTGGTGGGATTCAGAATGCTCTTTGATTGTAGGTGAACTATAAATCCCAGCAACTACAACTCCCAAATGACAAAATCAATTTTTTTGAGTGAAGGACATACATTGGGTTGTTAGGTGTATTGTGTCCAAATTTGGTGTCAATTCGTCCAGTGGTTTTTGAGTTCTGTTAATCCCACAAACGAACATTACATTTTTATTTATATAGATAAATAACCTTAACTCAAGTATAAGCTGAGGGGTTTTTTTTCCCAGCCTTAAAAAAGGGCTCAAAAACTCGGCTTATACTTGAGAATATACAGTATACCATACCAAAGCATGTGTGTTTTGTTGTGTGTGTGTGAGTTTTCCTTGCTCATTAGCTTGTTTCAGCCTCTGTCCCTTCCTTCAGAGATGCGACTACTTAAACACAACCTTCATCGCACTTATAAATGAGGCCTTGCAAAGGTTTGAGTTTGGAGTCAGAGGTGGAGATGGAATCGAGGGTCACCTGCCATATTTATTTCCAGAACTGCCTGCCTTGGCTTTTCTCCTCATTGAAAGACTCCCAAGAATGTTTGCAGGTATTGATGCCTCAATGGCTGTGTTGCGGTTTCATTTTTTTCCGTCAACATTTCTGTTGTAGGAGGTGCTCATGATGCTGGACAACTACGTCCGAGATTTCAAGGCTTTGATTGACTGGATACAGCTCCAGGAGAAGCTAGAGAAAGCAGATGCACAGAGCAGGTGAGCAGGAAACTGTCTCCATATATCCTTTCCTTTTATACAAATAGCTTTGTTTAGCATCCTTCTTGAATTCAAATTGGGACGGGAGAGAAACTGACAAGTGAAGACTGTTGCTTTCATGCCCAACCAGTCTGCTTTTCTGAAGTATCTGTCTAGCATTATACGTTCTTGAGAAAACGTTAGCCGTGAGGCCAGGTAGAAGGGATGTGCAAAACAACTGTATAGTGTGTAAACCTTCTGCAGCCTGTTAGTGTGTTAGTGCTCATAGATTAAGTAGGGACATCCCTTAACCTTTTAAAATTTGTGTTCCATTTTTAATTGCCAGACCTACTTCACTCGCATGGGAAGTTAAAAAGATGTCCCCAGGACGCCACGTCATTCCAAGCCCCTC